GAGCATTTTACGGACCTTTCTATGGGTACACCTCCTAGTCTTGGCAAATGTGGTCTTTGAAAATGAGGACATCTTTTGGCACGAGATGTCGGCTTCCCGAGACAATTCAACACGGGGTGAGCACCTCTTATTCCGAGCGCATAGCTGGGGGATGTCATCTACCTGAGACTGCCTGTTAAAGTTATCGTCGTCGTCTTTAGAAGTTTAGTTTGAATTGCCTGTACTAACCATTGCATTTTGTTTAGATCTTTTTCTCCTTTAATATCGTCATTCATAACTGTACAATATGCGTTCCTTGATGAATACAGGCGATTCACAATAGTGCGCCTCCAAGAGTTTGCACCGCGTTGGCTAATCACAACGTGCAAAATCTGTCGACCCTTTCCAAACGCGCATTGGGTCGACAGATTTCGCGCATTGTGATTGGCTAACGCGTTGCAAACTCTTGGAGGCGCACCATTGTGAAACGCTCGTATTATCACAGATTAATTTTACCCTTCAAAGCTTGAATTACAGCAAGGACAAATGAGACTCTTGGTTTCATACAAGAATGCCTCTCTTATAGAAGCTGGGATTTCTCATCCAATTACATCGTTTAAATCAAGGGCCTCTTGAGTTCAGATCCGTCACCTTTTCTCAAACGCTGGAACTTCGAAAGTGAGATCTCGCCCCGTGATGATCAAGATGTTAAATGAGACGTAAGGTTTGCTCTTATGATGCGGCTGAGAGATCGTCATTGGAATACAGACGCATTGACCTCACGATGTATCTCACTGGCTTGCTGTTCTGACTCGCTCTGGTTCCCAACCTTTTTCCTTACGTCTTGTTTAGCCAGAAAAACCAGCGAGTAAAGGGCCAAAGTCCACGAGGGAAGGATTCCAATTATTGATTAACCCCATTCCCATTAACAAGGATGGATCCAGAATACAATTTCCAGAGTGCGATTTTTTTTTCGGGGGGGGGCAAAAATTTGGACATTTCTTTTGTAACCTCATATGGCTTTTGAGGAGTGATACTAAATTGGGGGGAAATTTACAGTTTTTGGGAGGAAAACAAGAAAACTAATGCTCATTAAGGATACAAAGTATGTACCTCACAAACATAGTTGGTACTCTTTCGGATAATCTACAGTAACCCAGAGAAACACCGTCTGAACGCACCGTTGATTTTTATTTGCAGGTGTGAAATTCAAGAAACCTTTGCGGAGTGGTTAGACCCCTTGTTTTAGGAAATGAATGTTTAAAGGTCGTGTGATTCCGACAATAAAGCCACATTGCTCTATTTTCCACTTTGTATGAATGAAAATGATGTTAACACTATGCTGATTATTTTATTTTCGTAACACATGACGATCCTATAGCGACTGCTTTTCCCACATAGGACTCACCGGATGATGCTGATTATTGAAACAAGAACGAGAAAACATGTCTGAAAATACATGTACAAACGATTGCTGACACATCAAGAATTTTCAAGGCAAGAAAAAATAATTAATTTTTGAATATGTTTCAAATTTTAAGATGTACATTGCAAACACTGTGTTGTTAAATAGGTGTTAATTTAACTCCCTGGGTCCTACCAGAGGACTGCTGTGGTCTGATAACCCCAAGGGTGTTGACTAAATACCATACTTTCTGCAGTGTATATTTTCATTATGTACAAATTCAACAGCGTACACTCAAGGCGGTCTTGTGCATTGTGAACTTTTATTTTTTTTATTTTGGAACGTGATAAATATGAAACGAACGGTTTTTAAAATTGAACAATGAAAAATAATAACATACATTCTATCTAAGTGGTACTGATTCAAATTAAACAATCCTAACAAGAAAAACAAAACAGGAAAAAAATATGATTCTCAGAATCTTCCATAATTATGGTCGGTGTTTGGCACTATATCAAGAGCACAGGTCTAGGGCTACAAGAGCTATAGGTTTCACCACTTGAACATATCTCCACCGAATCTGCAAAATAAAACGAGATTCCAAAAACTGTGTGATATTAATTGGCAATTAATTACTAAAAAATCGGCATCTCTGGATGCTGGGTATACGTTCGTAAACAATAAAGACCATTTCAATGACAATTGGGTATGGATAATCATCATTGGGCCTTTTGAAGGCTTCAGTTCAAAGCGAGATTACACTGGCATGCCTCAGAAACATGGGTTCATATGCAATATTCGGTGTTGTAATTGCCTTGGGTTAAGACGATAGCTGCGCGTGTTCAAGAAAAGTCTGCACCCTGATAAGGGATTCGATATACACCACCGGCTGCCACGATCGTATATACCATCCCGTTTTGGGAAGCTTCGGTTTGTCTTTATGCGCGACTTGACAAATTTCACGCACACGTCAAGTTAAGGTTGTATGCTAAAATAGGCCCAAAATTGCCCACGGATTTCCCCGTTAAAAGAACATTGTGTTCTTGCACTGTATGGTTAAATAACATGAGGATGCAAATTATCAAAAGGACTATCTGAGAAATGTGGGCAAAAAGAAGCTATCCAAGTGGATCTCTTTTGCAATGGAGTGCAGACTGGCATCAGTTTTCAAAATGGCAGTGGGCTTGACGAATATTTTAGGGGGAGGGTGATCATCGTTAATGGAAATATCTTGTAATGTCAATGGTTAATCCTGCAAAACGTAAACAGAAACAGAAAGACGAGAAAATAAGCTTTAACTTGACGTGTCTTGAACACCCGAGAAACGTGTACATGTATTTTTCTTTTTTTTAATTGGATATTTATCACTGTTCTCCTTGAAGTCGGCTTATTTACTGCTTCTTAACTTCTTCAATGCACGCGTTGGCGTAGTGCCATCGTCATTAGCCGATACGTTGGCCTAGATGATTGGCATTCACGCGGATGGTCTGGCCTCTTACAAATTTTTGGCAATGTTGCGAATCCATACGAAGGGCTAAAACAGGTAATAACTGGAAAAATTTCTCCTCGAAAAGATCAAACTAAGCTGCAGTATCTGAAACGAGTGGGACCAAGAGAGGGCACAGTTTTCCTAGCAGAGGCTCCTTCGCTGGTTCACAGACGACTATGAAATACACGCGTGAAGGTGGCGTCGCTACCAACAAAATGAACTCTCCCCAGCAACGTGGCTCTTTCCAACTGATGAGAAGGTGCCCCTGCTCGAGGTTGATGCATATTAATACGTAAACACTGTTTGTACCTTGCACAGTGACCCATGTTGACATATTCTGAATATCTCACCGCTTCTGCAATTTTCACGCGAGTAGTAAATGATAGCTTAAGTTACGGAAAGGTTTATTAATATTCTAATGCTTATGTGACTCTGAAATGAGAATGATCATCTAGGAAAATCGTGGAGAATGAGCCCCGACCAAAAGAGGGCACAAAGTTCCTAGCAACGGATGCCCCTTAGGTGGGAACTGCACTTCGGTGGTTCACGAACGACTATGAAATGCACGTGTTACGGTTGCGTTGCTTTCAACAAAGTGAACATTCCCTACCAATATGGCTCTTTACAATCGATGAGAGGGTGCTTCTGCTCAAGACGGATCGGCAATGAATGCAGAGAGTGTAAACAAAACGACCGTGCAAATACCTCTCAACATGGAAGTAACTGTATTGTTGTGACTTTTCACGCTTAATTTGTGCAAGTGTTTATTCATAAAGCTGTTCGATTTTATCCCACTTTTAAGTGGGTTAAACATTCCATCTTGTTTTCTGCTCAACAGTCTCCAAAGATAGACTTCTGGCTGTGCCTTTTTGAAGAGCTTTTTCTCCTTGGCATGGAGGAAGTTGAAATCGATGAATTTGTTTGTACCTATAGACGTCGCTGTGCAACGATTAAAAAAACAAAATGTATTACTAGTATTTTTTTCGTCGAGACGAGGTCTCTGAGCGCTATCGGGTTAAATTATTGAGCTCGTTCCAACGAAGTATTAACAACACAGAAACCAAAACTCAACATAACCATCAATATGCTGGTCCGCAGAGGCCTTGAGAATGCGAATTATTATCCAGCGCAAATAACGAGAACAATAAATTGATCAATATATGAGACGCCCCACAAAAGGGTAGCAAGAACGTACGTGCCGTTATTAAAGCTTCAATTGGGTTGTATAGTCCATTCGATAAGGACAAAAACAGTGCATGCACATGGGGAAAAAGTGAAAAAAAAAATTTGCGTATAAACCAGGTGTGAATATTCAGTATGTACTGTGCGACCAGCCGTTTGCTGCAGGAGAAATCATTCTATCGATCACAGGTGGTAAGACTCAATGCATGTGTATAATAATAGCACTGTTTCCTAGTGCTGACTATTAATACGTACAGTGAATTACACTTGGTGGCATGATTTTATGCAATTTACTGGAAAACCTTAGCTATGAAAGTAATCTACCCGACAAATTCAGCCTTCCAACCGAACTTCTAATCAATAATCATATGACCAATCATTCAACCAGCCAGCTAGCTAGCTAGTCATGTCAGCCAGTAAGCCAACAAAAATATTTAAAAAATGCAATAAACAGCAAATTAATATCAAAAACCAGAGAAAATACTTGGGGAACTTTTCTGATATTAACTCTAATTGCCAATAGGTTGTCTATCGTCAAGGTTTCCCTAATTTAAAATTGACAAAGCGAAACAAATTAATCAGGTTATTAGCCCATTGCATTTCTATTTGCGCCTATCTACACCAAAGCTCCAATCGATACAAAGATAAATAGCGTGCAAAGGGCTTCGATCAAATGGGCATAAATCGGGGGGGGGTGTATATATTCTTCAAATCCTTTCAATGTCACTCCAAAAGGGAAAACAATAAAAAAAAGCCCTAAATATACCATTGTGATGTAAGATTGTGAATGTAATACATATCATGAACATCAACCCCTATACAATGTCGTATGGTGTTAGCCCACCACCCCCCCTTTCCAAATGTCCATGGCCAGTCAGGTCATCTCCCCCCCCCTCCGTTCACAGACACCCAAAACCCCATCCCCAATCCCCCCTCCCCATTTCTAGCACAAATTGATGCCACTATTCGATTAAACATACACTATTATGTTCTCTTCCTTTCAAGGCCCTAGCTGGTGAATTTAAAATCCACTCGAACCTTAATAACTTTACCCAAGCACTACATTCGCTATACCCTCCATTGGCTTAATTTCAATGTCGATAATGTTTCAACGCGCAACCTAATATGGGTGGTAAATCCACACGGAGAATACTTTACTGCTCTGGACACAACACTAGTGAGCCCATGTCCGTCAGGATTTATTCAAACTTTGGCTTCGTCTTCGTTTCCGGGTTCGCCTGATTCAGGTCTCTAACCTTGTATCTTCTTCTTCAATATGGTAAGTGTAGAGCATTTATAAGGCGCACAGTGTTACAACATAATGTCACTCAAAGGGACTGAATCATTATCATGACACATGTACATTGACGTTTTGAAATACGAGTGTAGAAGCATCCAACTGTACTGTTTCAAGCTTGAGATGGGGGTACTTTGCTTCAAATATTGACACTGTGGCAAAAACTGTGACGTTAATCTCACTCGGTATCCACATGGGACAACAGTTTGGTTTTTATCTTTGTCGATATATCAATGATGTTGCGGTAGGATATGTGGATGACGACGGTGTTTGATTTACACCTCGGTGTTTGCAATGAAAAATGGTTTCGATCGCGGTCAGAGGCGTTTACGAAATCCCTGGGATCATAATTTAGAATAACATATCATACTCTAAATGCAACGTGTGAGTTAAGCAAACAGTGATAATAACATAGTCAGACACACTGTGAAACCATGCGCAGTTCGGTATTACAAGCGCGTCGACACTGTTTGCAGTCTAGTTTTGCTGAAATGCGCTTCCTAGTTAGAATACAGTGCATCGGTTTTGATAATTACGCACATCATAACAGCCACGCTAAGAAGAATAGGACTGTATACAACCACGGATGCACCTACCACGCTTTACTTCGTACAGCAAGTAAACGTACGCTCTATTGACTTATAATTATACAGCCAAAATCGTCGCTGAAACTAGATAGGTCTGATAAACCCATATGCTAAATAAGCAGAGACTCAATTCCTTAAACGATCCAATGTCTAATTATGAACCCTTTATTGGGTGTGAATAACTCGACTATCCTCACGCAAAATGTGGCTTTTCATTCGATCACGCTCACTGTGAATAGAATATATTAATACAGTGGGTTTTTTTGTTTGTTTTTTACAGCAGGTGTGTCAATATTTTCTGTCTGGTGCATGTTTGATTAATTTCGCCGATTCTACCTCCTTGATTTTTCTTTAAAACTTTTATATGTCGTCTTATGCTCAGTGGGTGAATCGTTCTTCAAAATTTAATGGCGAGTTTGTTAAATATTTTGGCTTTGCCAAACCGAGGGGGGATACCGTGTCGGTAGGTGGAAAAAATGGTAAAGAACGCGAAGTAATGAAGAGCTATAATTGATCCACATGACAGGTATAGACTAGACATCACGTACGTAATGTGTTATATAACAGCTGTTTTCTGTGAGAACAAGTTTTTTCTATAACACGCGTAAGCCTATTGCGGGTGCTTTGGTGCATAATAAGGGATTTGTGTTATGCTCGACAGTGAGTGTTAAGTGCATTTCGGTTTCAAAAATCAAGATGTGCATTTATCAAACCAGTGCTCATCTAATTAGAGTATTCGTGTATAAAAATATCTACCACCTTGTGTTAAGACCGATTCATAGTTTAGGCGAATGCGAAAATGGAGTGAAATTGATGTCATGAAAAATTTGCCGCGAAATTTCGCTCAAGTTGAAATATGTTCAACTTTCACGAATTACCAGCCCAAATATTACTTTGATTGGCCCCCATGAAATCGCGTTTTCATTCGCTTTTGCGCTAGGTTAACCGGTCTCAACCGTCAAAACATTATGCCATAGTGAAACATCGATATCCCTTGACCTCCTGACTGATGAACACTCTTGGCTTGAACCAAGGCTACCAGACTTAATCCCCATAGCAAATGTAGTTTAACTCGTGACTTAGATGGCCCTCCAAAAGAGATCGAGAATCTTCACTATATATTTACCATTGTGTCATGAACTTTTGAATACTGGTACCGTTCCAAATAATTACTCTCGTTTAATATAAATTCTGACGAGTCAGATCACCCTTTTCTTCTCAAAACGTATGACCACCGATTGGGTTTTAAGATACAGACTCATTGTTAGGATTGTTAGGTATAAGAAAATTGTTCCAACTGAAAATGTCGCTTATTTCTCATAATATTCAGTGGTATATCTGGAGCTCGATTTGTGAGGGGGTGGACATTGCGCCCTCATTCTCTGGAGGGGCCAATAGCTAGATTTCGCTGTCTCAAAGCATTCACAACTTTTTCTTTTACTTTTGAGCGGGAGGTTAAAGGGCAGACAGCCCTTCAGCATATACCCGCGTTATTCTCCCCCCCCCCACATTATGTTCACCCCTGTCACTTTGCGCATGCGCTAAAATTCGGCAAAGTCGTCGTAGTAACTTTCTGTTTCTTGATAAAATGGCGACGCTAGCCAGCAACGACTACACCAGAGTCCATCTGCAGAGATCTTCTGCACTGTGTAAAAGTTCGCTGAATTTATACCCGAGAGATATAATCAGGCTTCAGATTTCATTTTGTATTCTAGTTATTTCATAAGTGACATTTCTGAACGTAAAAAAATTTATTTGGAAATCGACATTTTGAATTGTTCTGCAGTTTTTCACACATACCTCATTATCTTGGTAATTGAAATAGTGTTCGAAAAAGGACACCATGTTATGTTTACGCTATTTCGAATTGTCTTTCGTTAGTTTGATCAGTTTGAACTGATTGATGGTCGGCCATGATTTATGTCTGCATGTCATGTGCACGTATACATGTACATCTACTCCATCAACGCACGTATACATGCACTACTACGGACAAATGATTCTCGTGGAAAATATTCAATTCGCAATAACATGAAAATACTACTTTTATCAGGTCTTAAGTCACACGGCGTATAAAAGTGTTGCTTGGATATATCGGAGAGGCGATTTTAAAATGGGAAAGATCATGGTTGTATTTTCTTACAAATCTGATCGTGTTTTTTTTTTTAAATCACTTTTTCAGAATTGTTTCAAATTTTGTTCAACTGGGTTCACATAATACGATGGTACAATACGTTGTCAAATCAATTTTAGTTATCAGGTTATCTCCGTGAACTTTATTTGTTTGTATTTTGTTAAAAATTGTTATGGTCTCCATCCGCAGAAAGAAGAGTTGAAACGGTGTCCCACGTCGCCTGCCTCTATAAACCCACAGTAAATTGATCGAGTGCGCATGGGCTAACTCTCAACTAAGTGGTGCACGAAAGCATGGGAGCGAACATACGTGCCCCGGTTCCCAAGCCCTCTTTTTGGTTACGCCAGTTATGTTATCTTATCTTCCATTCTTTGAATTCTGTGACCTCATCGTTGAACTTCGAGACAGCGAGCGTTTTTGGCAACGGAGTATCCGCAGGAAAGCCTCCTTGAAAAGCGGGTTGCAGACGGCGTAGCAGATCGGATTCACTGTGCTACTCAGGTGAGCCAGCCACGCCAGGAACTGGATGTAGAGGAAAAAAAAGAAAGCATGAAGAAAAGTAAGAACGCAAAATGATTCGCAGGCTGGCACGGAGTAGTCAAGCCTAGATTCCTTTTCGACGTAAAAAGACAAAGACTGTATCGCTGAGCAGTTGCCGATGATACGCAATCATTTATAAGTAAATGCTTTACCGCGACTGATGGAAACCCAGACGCCAAAAGTTTGCAAATTAACTTTTCTAACCGTCTGCTCACAGGGTGCGCCCCCCCCCCCCGGCAACCCCAAAGTAACACTTATTGTCTCTGAAAATAACTCTCGGAGATTGGTTGTGCCCTATTTAATTTTGCAAACATGCTGCAACTCCGCTCTGTCAGGCCGGGTCTGAGGTCAACAAGTAATACCCTAGTTGTTCCCCGGACTCGGCTGGCCAGTGCCGGAGACAGGGCTTTTTCTACAATTGCACCACGCTTATGGAACTCACTCCCGGATCATCTAAGACAAGAGCATAACATCAAGCAATTTCAGCATCATCTCAAAACATTCTTCTTCTCACAAGCTTTTTCACTATGAATGCACAATTGAGTTTTTCATTTTTCCACCTAGACCGGCGCCTCTGAATGCTTTGCAGATATAGTGCGCCTTATAAATGCTTTATTATTATTATTATATTATTATTTCAAATGGAAGCTTAGAATGTTATCTTTTGTTGTCTTTCAAAGCTGAAGACTTCATTTAAATTCGATCTGCTTTGCAGAGATAATTTCGAATACGGCGAAAAACAACCGAATACAAGTGTAAGGGTGACCAGCGGGGTTTCAGCTGGGAGCTGGCTTTACGGTGCCTGGTGGAAAGACTCTACACTCCAGGGCGCTGGGAAGAGGGGGCAAGCAGGTTTAGGTTTAGGGGGTCAGAGAGCAAGGGGTGGTGGGTTTGTTACTGCACTGAATGCCAGCACTGTGTTTCTGCTGCTGGGGTCCGGGACCCAGCCTGTGAAAATGGTGCAGGCACTCATTACTTCCAGATTTCAGAATCTCCACAATTTTCTGATAGACTCTAGATACACTTAATAAACAGAGTCCGGTACAACCTGAAATTCGTCACGTGTTTATGTAGGCACAATGTCTATATTGGGCAGCAAGGAAGAAACACAACTATTCAGGCCAACCCAGGCCGCTGGCTGACCAAAACTTACACGCACTATCATTCACCACATCCACTCAATTGTCCCTAAATGCACACATATATAGTCCATAACCTACAGAGACATCCCAGTTTAACAAAAAGAAAATCAGTTGACAACCCTCATTTAACAATAATCGATTTCCATTTGGATTAATTGCCACTTCCAAGAATACCAGAAGACTAGTGCACTGCACAATTTATCCCTCACCTGCCCTTCACCAGTGCAGGCAGACTGCACAGGGTCACACCACATGTATGTTTGTATGCCACAAAATCCTAGAGTCCTTCACCGAAGTACTCCCTACATCAACTTCCACATATCACCTTTTAAAAATTCCTCATCTCCTCCAATCTACAATCAAACTAGTCAATAATCACAAGGGATAGAATAAGGGAAAGAAAGATTTACAAATACTCAAATAAGTGGTGAAATAAATAAATGCAACCCACAACCCCCCCCCCAAATGGAAGCAGTTACCACCTGTGAAAATGGGGTAGGCACTATCCCACGCGGTCTCAGAGAGATACATACAACACATACCACACAATCATGTCCAGTAAACAATTCAACTCAGTGAACAGGGTTGGGATTTACGATTAGAGGGATTTCGGAAAGCAAAATTGGAAAATTGATGAATAATTTTAATAATATTAAACCTCAGATAATTTGCCGTACTTACAATTTCATATCATCGCAAACTACATGTACAAAATTAAAATAAATTGGAGTTCCTTTGTTGTGTATCACCCCGAGTGAGTGTATCGATTAACACCAACAGAGACGGCACTGCAGCAGTAAAAGAGAGCACTATGTATACATTTTGTAAACAGAGTTAGTCGGCAAAAATTAAAGCAAATGTGGAATATCTTAAAATGGATGATTACAAAATCACAAAATTGTATCCATAGTTTCGTCACGTGGGACCTCCTTACACAAGGACAGGACACAAGACTGTTCTGTTGGTCAGGGGCTGTAAAGTTAACTACTATTTAGCCACAGGTATGCAGCCCCGCACATAATAATGGGATTTACCAAAGTAATCAAAATGCTGTTTACGCCACCACAATGACACGATCAGAACGGCCCACAGAATGGGGATACTGAACTTAACAGGGTTCTACTGTGTTATGTTATAAACTTCTTTAATTTCCATCAATAAACAAATAGGATGCTCAAACGGTTTCAACTGACAGGTAAATTACGCAAGTTGTTTTTTTTCTTGGGTATTGTCAAGGAGATTAATACATTTTTGGAGAGGGGTGTAGTGCAATACATATGTACGTGCAATAACGCTTGAGAATTAAAGTTAAATAGTTAAAAACTGAAGTTATAATTTTCTGAATAGCGTGATGGTCAAAGTGAGAGAGGCGAGCCGGAGCAGCCGTGTTACGAGGCGTTTAAGCAAACATTCCATCAACGCACGACAAAGGGTACATTGTCAGTGGATGGCAGATTAGTGATGATATGAAACGTAAGCTGATTGCGCCTGTAAGCCAAATTGTAAAACAGACAATAAAACCCCCAAAACAAAATCGAACAAAAACACAAAACAAACGAACAAAACACCAAACCACACCTTACCAAACCAGAAACATAATGCAGAATGCAAAGTAAACACTTACCCTCATCTGATTGTCTGTAAGCGGATATGTGTATGGGTATACTGCTCCCCAAAGCGCAAACACGGACCAAGGCGCTGCCGTAACCACTGTAGTTATCAGGATGCACGTTAAGGTGCGAGTCGCCCGAAGATTGGCCAAGTGACGTTCCCGTTTTGAGCGCCTCGAACGCATCGACAAGCCGCGCCGTTTCCTCAAATTGCCCACTGTCGTAGCCGCTGTCGCTGCTGTGGTCACATCAGGCTTGCTTGCAGTAGTGTTGTCACTGTGGTGATAGTCAACTTCCTCGGTGTGCTCGTAAGCGGGGTTGTTGAGCCCTGCAGACATTCCAGCGGATATGCTGAATACCTCATCTCTAGGTGGTGGCTGTTCAGAATCTGTTGGTTGCTCAGTTGTTTCAGTTTTCGAGGCGAGTTCCTTATTCAGACGATAACTCTTTTCACGAAGCTTCCCGTCTCCACGGTTGCACGCTCTCTGAGATGCTGGCTGCTCGGATCTGAAGTCTGAGCTTACCTCTTCACCGATACCACGTTTCTTGTTGATACCTTTGCGGATGACAGCGCTGTAGACAAAGGCGTACAGGAGTATGGTGATCATCATTGGGATCCAAGACAAGACCAGCATCGCTATTATAAGCAAGGGAGGATGAAAACCATAAGATCCTTGGCATATTGGTGGTCGTATCCGCAACGTGAGTCCAGTATACGGAAAAATAATGATCAAAGGTGTCCAAATAAACAGTGGTATGACGTAGGCCAAGGATATCATGAAACACGCGTGCCTTAGCGTTTTCTCCTTTAAGTGTTTAAGTGGCATGTACAGAGCGCGGAATCTGTCGAAGCAGATAACCAAAGTCATCAAGAACGTAATTTCAAGGAAAACGTGAACTAAGTACATGACAGCAGCACACATACCCTCGCTGAATGGCCAATAACCGAGAAACCAAAGAATATTCTCCAGCAAAGGAAGGATGCCACCACTGACCAAGTCGGACAACGCCAAACCCACGATGTAATAGTTGGTGTACGTCCGCAGCTTCTTCGTAGTGAAGTAGGCGTAGAGAACTAAGGCATTGCCGAAAAGAGTTGCCAGGAGAAAGACCGTGCAGAGCACAACTTTGGGAATAAGATTTGGCGGGATTTGGTGTGGTTCAGGCAGAATTGTAGGGTATTCAGTCGACAAGTTTGCTCGCATACTGGAATTAGCGGCATAGTCATCATAACTTTCATTGTTGTAAAGATAAGCGTGAAGAGGTCCGATAGTGAAGGAGACAGTGCTGTTCAGCAACGTAACACTGTCGTTTTGCCATTCGGATGTTATGATCTCTTGTTGGACGACACTTGCTTCCGTGCCAGTTGTGATGAGCCCTTCGACTGCAGTGGCCTCCATTGGATAAATAGTTCATATAACAAAAAGCATTGAGATAAGAAACTACAAAATTGGTTTTGCTCAGACAGGCGTGTCCCTGATCTAAGGCAGTCACAAAACACACTAGTGGCAGTGCTGTAATACAAAGATAACAGCAGTAACAAAGCTCCCTCAATCAAAAAGGTGACGCACAGTGTCCATGACGTTAAGACAGTCGGCACCCTAGGACGTTTGCTCTGGTCTTGAGACACATATATTCATACTGTCGAACTTCCTGCTATGACTGCCACACGTATCTGGGAACAAACTATAGGCCTACAGCGACTGAATCACCGAGCAGTCGTGCTTCAATTTTGTAGAATAGAAACTGCTCACCTTCACATAACTCTCATTTCAATCAGATAAAGAATTGTTACACATAGGCATTAAAGGCGATCGGTGTATAGGAAATGTTGTTTCTCTTTGGCACAAATTCCTTGTTTATTTCCTCTGCGGAGTCCGGTTTTTCGGATTGAAGTGCAGAACAGGAACAATATTATAAATGTTTTCCTCATGCAACACTTCCCTATCAGCTCCACCAAAATATTAGTGCGAAGCTCAGTTGACTGCTGATGCCGGTCGCATGCAGGGAGTGTGTGCCGTACTGCGAAATGTCCGGACGTATTTAGCGTTGGAACTCGTGCTTCTGTTGTTAGTTTGCTAGACCTATTACCTGCAGATAGTATTACCTCTCAGTTGCGTGGTGAACAAGCTGGTCTGATCAGTGGCCGAAGGGGACAAACGTCCATACAGCCGGATCACCGAGTCCGCTGACTTTGTTTTGGCTCGTGTACTCCACAACTATCTTCAAG